CGGTCCGGCCGCGGCGGCTCGTTGCAGGTGCTGTGCCTGGAGAAGGGGATGCTGCTAAAGCGGGTGTTTGCGCTCAGCAGGTGAGTGGGCTGAAACCCAACCCAGTAAGGAAAACACAGCGTAGAATCCTGGAATGGTTTGGGTTGGAAGGGACCTCAAAGACCATCCAGTTCCAACCCCCTTGCCATGGGCAGGGACACCCTCCACTACACCAGGTTGCCCAAAGCCTCATCCAACCTTGCCCTGAGCACCTCCAGGGATGGAACACTTCCAAGTATAAGGCATTAAAAACACTTGGTTGGTTCAACTGACAGTGTCAGAAAACATACATGGAAAAAAAAAAGTACTTTTTGCTAAGGAAAACCTTTTAATTGTGGAGGGAGGACTTTCAGCGGATGTCCAAGAGCTGAAAAGGCTGTAGGATGTCAAGAAGGGAAAGTTTGCTAATGGGATCTGTCTGCATTTGGGGGGCTTGGGGTGTGAGCCTTTGTTCAAGGGGATTGGCCGGATACGTTGTGTTTCCACAAGTAGGTGAAATCAGAACTTTTAACGATTATCTTGTTTCTTACAGAGCAGCAACATCCAGAGAAAGCCGTCTGTGTGCTGCAGGTGAGGCCTCTTATTAATCCAATCCAAGGCCAAACTTCATTTTCTCAAAATAAATACGACACATTTGAGCGTTTGTGTCTCCTTTTGATTATTTTTTCTTTTTTCCACTCAGTTTTGGGCTGGTTACATAACCTGAGCAGGTGCTCTTCCACTTTCATACCTTTTTTCCTAACCTTTTCTTCTGTTTCCCTGTTCTTGGCTAAGCAGGTGGTATTAGTCAGGGTGTTAACGCTGTGGAGCAACACCAGCCAGCTGCTATTTGCTGTATTCATAGAATCACAGAATGGTTTGGGTTGAAAGGGACCTCCAAGATCACCCAGTTCCAACCCCCCTGCCATGGGCAGGAACCCCTTCCACTACACCAGGTTGCCCAAAGCCTCATCCAACCTGGCCTTGAACACTTCTAGGGCTGGGGCAGTCACAGCTTCTCTGGGTAACCTGTGCCAGTGCCTCACCACCCTCTAAGTGAAAAACTTCTTCCTTAGATCCCATCGAAATCTCCCCTCTTTCAGTTTAAAGCCATTGCCCCTTGTCCTGTCACTACATGCCCTTATTTTTTTGAGGTAAAGCAGAAGGTTTCTGAAGGGGGAGGACATCACTCCTTTGATGCCGTGGAAAGGAAACACATTCTGTGAGGATTACTTTTGTTCTGTGGAAGGGATCCATGAGTGTATCAGGTGACCTCACAGATGCTTCTTCAAACCTCCCTTCATTAATTCAAGGGTAACCTAGAAATAATTAGTCACATCATTTAAGAGGGACATAGGAAAATGAAGTTGCTTATGGGTCAGCAAATCTCTTAAGCTGCTGCTTATTACTGCCCAGGATCTGACTTACACCCCTGTGAGATCCCACTCTAACATTTATTGAGCTGGTGGAGTCCACTGTTGCGATTTAAAATAGAATTTAATTTCGATGTGGAGGCAAAGTGTAAGTGAGTGGCTTAAATCCTTGGTGTTCTGTTTCTCTTTGCTGCTCCGAGCTTCGTTTATGACGGTGAGAGTTATTGAGGGTTTCATGTTCCCCTGGAGAAGGAAGTATAAATAAAAGCTGATGCCTTTTTGATTTGGCTTCCTAGCACATGAATATTTGAACAGGGCTGGATTTAAAATGAAGTGGGGCTCAGATCCATCACAGTAGCATCACTGCTGTCGCATACGAGGAGACAGATGTAACATTTCATCCGTATCCTCGCCATCCACTGGTGCTGACAAGTTTGTCTCTTTTTTTTGTTTGTTTGTTTTGTTTGTTTGCCTGAGAATTCACCTGGGAAATGAGTCACTTTTAATCTCTTCCTTCCTTATTTGTTGCTCACCATAACCAACTGTGAATTGTAACAGGACAAATTCTTGCCCTCAGTGTGGATTTGGGGCTCTCAAAGCATCTGTAGATGTTTGTTGAAAGAAAGGCTGTCTGCCATTCAGCTGGAAACATGTTTGCTCTGCTTTGATTTGAAGGTGATGCCCTTGTGAGTTGCCACAGACACTACAAATCCCGTCCTACACATGGTATTGGCAGGTTCAAATACCTGCTCCCGAAGGAGGTAGGCATAAGAACTCCCCTGCTCTACTTGCTTTCAGCTGACCCATCTCCTTACAGTCCAGTTTAAATGTTGGTATTGTTAATTCCATGGCTGATGAATCATTTTTAAAATGGAATACTGTCACGGTTTACTGCTACTTTTCTTGGTAGAGAGTGTTATGTCGCATGAAGTACCCGCTCACAAGGCTGCATAAATACTTTCTGTTGTTGGGTACGTTCTTGTTTAAGTTAATGAGTAGTTTGGGGAGGGAGGAGGCTCTTCTTGATGCTGAATTTAACACCTCAACTTCAAATTATTGCAGAATATTGTGAGCAGGTCTTATTTGCATTGAAACTTTTCACATTCCCTGAAATTTGGAAAGATGACAATTTTTGTGAAAGGAAGAAACAATAACTCATCTAGACAGCTGCCTCGAAGGCAGGAACTGAAATAAAAAGCAGTTTGTTTTCGACTCCTTGGTTTCTTCTGGAAGAAATTAATCATGATGTGCACGTATTTTCTGTGTGACTTCTGTGGCGCTGCCATCCAAGAACTGAACTGGAGAACATCTGTTGAGATAATGTCATCCCAGTTTTGTAGTCAGGGGAAGTGAGCACAGATGGGCTGTGATGTGTTCGACATAGTTCAGCAAACCTTTGTTGGAAGAGGTTGTCTCTCCTGTGTGGGCAAGAGTTAATGGTTTTTATTTCCAGCTTTGTTTTCCAGATATGCTTTCTATTTTTTCTTTCTTTCTTCCTTTTTTTCCTTTTTAAATACAGGCTCCAAAGAAGAAAAAGGATAAAGTACAGATGAAAGAGATAAATGTTGGGACCGAATACGAGTACGGAGATGTCAACATCCAGATGACTTCCTATGATATGTGTCTTGTGGAGCATTTTGCTCAGTATGTGCATAAACTCTGCAACCGACTCTCCATCAGAGTGAACGAAAGGTACGAGGAGCAGGGCTCCGTGTTTGTCACGGCTCACAGTCGCGTCGCGTCGGGCCACGTGAAGCTCGTGGGTGAGGATACCTTGCAGGCAAGGGCGCAACCTCATCTCTCTGATGGATTTTCACATGTAAAGCCAGATCTTCTGGCATCTGCCTGGTGTTCTCTGTGCGTCTGTACGGTTTGGGATCCTTTATTTGTATAAGGAAGGCTGAAATGGAGTTGTACAGAGCAGATCTCAAGGAGAAGGTTCAGCCTGGAGAAGAGAAGGCTCCGGGGTGATCTTATTGCAGCCTTCCAGTGCCTAAAGGGGCTACAGGAAAGCTGGAGAGGGACTTTTTACAAGGGTGTGTAGTGATAGGACAAGGGGCAATGGATTTAAACTGAAAGAGGGGAGATTTAGGTTAGATATAAGAAAGAAATTCTTTACATTGAGGGTGGTGAGGTACTGGAACAGGTTGCCCAGAGAAGCTGTGGCTGCCCCATCCCTGGAAGTGTTCAAGGCCAGGTTGGATGGGGCTTTGGGCAACCTGGTGTAGTGGAGGGTGTCCCTGCCCAGGGCAGGGGGGTTGGAACTAGGTGATCTTTGAGATCCCTTCCAACCCAAACCATTCTATGATTCTATGCAAAAAAATAGCTTTGACTTTTCATTCCTTTGAGAAAAAGGCTTAAGCCCGTGGGTGCTGAGCCTGGGAGTGTAGGCTTAAGTATTGCTGACTTTTGCTGCTGTTTTTTCTTTAGAGTGTTTTATCCAGGCTCTTTGTGCATATACTGCGGAGTAAGCAAGTGGTACTGAATATACAAACTAGAATGAGCTCGGGAAACCCCTGGAGGTTGTGGGAGAGCGCCGTGCCACTGGAGCACAGTCGTAGAGGACGCTTCAGTTGCACACTAGATCTCTGCAGCAGGCGTACCCCGGTAGCAGCTTTGCTGGTTTGAGCGAGTCCGAGGAACATGATAGAGCTGCTCAGTGCCTGCAGCGCACCCGGGGAGCTGCAGTCACTGGAGAAGCCCTGCGTTGCTGGAAGGAAGTAAAACCACGCAGTGGCGATGATCTGAAATGTGTATCTTTAATTGTACCTCTGAGCATAAGCACTGGTTGCTGCTCGTGCCGATGAAACCCATCAAAAACGGTTTTCTTTGTGCTCATCCACTTTGCTGAACTGTCAGCCGTGGATCTGAAATCCTGGTGCCCGCAGATCCGTCGCTTGTAGTGTCTCTATGACGTTCTTTGCACCAAACAGCGCTAAAAGCTGCGACGCGTTGGTGACTGGCAGGTGTGTGTTTTGAGAAGGACACCCGGGGACATTAAGAAATTACAATTCCATTAGCAGCAAGACACTGGAGAGCATTATGTGCTCTTG